TCTTTTTTTTTTTTTGCGGACTGTACATAGGCCTTAACAGATGCATTGTTAAAAAATGAATATTACTTCGACGCTGCTCATGGTGTCAAGGCTTCGATCACTCCACTCATTCTTGCACCCAGGAGTTTGCCACTTGCTCTAATTGCGGAAGCGATCATTACACCAACGAATGTCTCTCAGACGAAAAATACTGTATCAACTGCTGGCACTCCAATACCTATTTTGGAACCAGCCATAATCCTCATCATCAAGCTTCAGACATCAGCTGCCCTGCGCATCGTCAGGCCCTCCTTGATCTAAGATCTCGCTCAAATGAAAATTTAAAAAAAAAAAAATCTTTTCATTGCTGCATTCTCATTGCTACGTATTGGGCTTAGTTGCTGCGATAAAATTCTGGTCGTTTAACCGTATTAGATGCAAGCAGTTAATAAACGGTTTTCTCACAGTTGACAGTTTGATTACCATCTTTTTTTACGGTTATTACACTTTTTTGTTTGAATATGGTAAAATAACAATTAAATTAATTGTTACTAACCCATTTTTTCAGAGAAGTTTCTGACCGTGTAAAATAATGGTAAAATTACTGACTGCGGTCTGTCCATCTGATTAACAGTAAAATTTGCTATTAGGATAAATTTTTTCTTCACGGTTTTGAAACCGTTTACGACTTAAATGGTTAAAAAATCATCAATACAAAACTATACGGTTTTGAAACCATTTAGATTTAGTATTTAGCTGAACATTATAAATAGGTTATCCCAAGTAGCACAATTCACAAAAACGATATCGTAAAAACTTAGCTTTGAACATTGTACAATATCGTAGCGAAATATTGTACTATATAAAAATGGACCCCTTTTATAACGTATATTCAATATTGCAAAACAATATTGTTCGATATTGTAAAAACGTTGGGAGATCTCTCTGCATTTACAAACGTTGTACTATGTCGACCGACATCGTCAGCACGATATTCAAAAAACGAATGCTGTGGAATGCCGACAATTGCCGAAATTACGTTATTTGAGAAAATGAAAATTAGTTTTTGAAAATATTCATGCCTGTTTGTAACCTGATAACAAAACCTTTCTAGCTTGTTTAAAATTAAATTATTTGTTATTACCATAACTTATATTAATTTTAAAGTCTGCAGCTTAGTTATTAATATTTAATAAATTTATGTAGGCAGGTATATTTTACTATTGTTCTAGAAAATAAGCTAGAAAGTAAATAGTTTTGTTAAGACATTTCTTTTCTTTTTCAGGGTACAAGCAGCCATTTATACTGTGAAATAATTTTAATATTTTAAGTGATTTGTGAAATAATTTTTACAGCATCTATATTTTACTATGTAGATGTTAAAAGTTATTGTTTACTATGTAGATGTTAAAATTACAATATGTTTAATTTAAAACGATAAACTTTTTTGCTGTTACGTTTTAGTATTATATAATCTGTATTTTACTTAAATAGTATGTATGGAAAACAAAATTCCTTATCTTCACAGCATCAAGTTCGATTTTAGGAAAACTGATTAAAAAGAAAAAAAAAGCAATATTTACACTGATATTGTCATAATAAAATAATAGGAGTAACTTCCTTAGATTTCTGATTTAAAAAAGGGTAAGCAAGGTAGAATAAGCTACGATTTAATTTACTTATAGCCTTTGTCCATTAAAGTGTTGCCAAAATATCTATTAGGGCTTGAACAGTTGTCAAATGTGTAAATGAAATATAATTTTTATTAAACAGTAAAGAATAATATACTAATTTCTATAATTTATTGTATTCTTTAATACAATCAATTGTTTCTAAAACAAAACTGTGTCAGTTGAGGCAAACTTAGTCTTCCTGCCTTCAAGGTTGTTGGCGGTGGCAAGAATTTTTCAGCTTTTTCTAGTCAGCTAGTTTCGTTATACAGTCTGAAGGTAGCAACTGAAAAAAAATAAGACATGAACTGTGGTTAATTTTAATATCTTTAAATTAAAAGACAAATAGTTATATTGAAAACATTACGCGAACTAAAGTAGACATAAGCATAACACAAGTACTACTAGCAGCGTTTATACTAATCCCTAGGTTGACAATTCTTTTGCATAGAACCAGAGCAGTTTTTATGTTTTCAGTAAGTTTATAACATATGGAAAACGAGTAAGTTTATAGTAAGAACCTTACGACCCTTTACGTGTAGGTTTATAACACATGGAAAATATTATATTTTATAATATAATAGATGGGAAAAAGTTTTTCTTTGAATAATCTTTAAAAATTATTTTGTCCCCTTTCGATGAGATGATCCGGGTTCCAATCCGAGTATCGGCTGGGATTGGAACCCGGCTAGTCAATACAAATTCCAAAACTAACATGCGCTTACCAGTGCTGATTCAGATAGAGTGAAGTATTTTGTAAAGGTACCGCTAAGTGGTAATGAGTTTGGCTTGGACACAGATGCCTGCTCTTTAACCATTAAAACAAAGTTTCAATTAACAAACCATAATTTTAATTAAAAAGTGAGATTTTTTCTCTTGATTTTTAATATGACAAAATAAATGCAACAGATTGTGTTTATAAATGTAGTCATTCATCAATAAATAAATATTTAATCATTTTTATATTAAAATATTCATTTTTAATCTTATATCAAAATAGATAAGTTAAGCTTAAAAAAAATTTAAAAAAATCTATGTACTCATTGGAATTTTTTTTCAGAAAATTTCTTTATAGAAGATGTGATAATGTCAAAGATACTATAAACATATTATGAGAAAAAAAGCAGTTACCAGTTAACAACTCTACTGCTTTAAATAGACTTTGAAAGGGAAGAATGACACTATGTCAGGAAAAAAACATCTGAATTCATCAGCCCCCTTTTTTCCCCTTCTAATATAACCTCAAGCTTTACATTTTCTACTAATAAAATATAATGTAGATTTTAATTCCATGCTTTTGCAATCAAAAGGTAGAATTTTAATTAACATTATTTGTATTTTTTTTTGTTGTTGAAAGAATTCATGTTTATTAATTACTTTCTACAGCTATGCAAGTATATATTAAGACAGCATTAAATATGTACTTTAATTTGTACCCATTTAATGCTATCCAATCAATCTCAAGACTCAAAAAGATTTTTAAAAATGTAATTTCAAATGTGTTGGAATTTAACACACACCAAGAAAGAAAGTAATTTCAATAACTAAAATTAATTAATGCACTAATTTATTTGAAATAAATTTTAAAACTATGAAAAGAAAACAATAAAAGTATCAAGAATTTAAAGCATTGTTTTTTAACTTTCAAAATCAATGATTTACAAAAAAATCATTTGATTTAAATCATGTATTAAATCATGATTTAAATCAACAAACCCAGATAGCTAGTAGTTGAGAAAAGACGCCATGAAAAACATTACAAAACTATCTTTTGAGTGGCTATCTTTTGAACTTTGAAACATACAATGCTGTAAAACGTAAAAGTATTAGAGTTTAGAATACAAACTATGCCAAATAAAACAGGAAGGACCAGGGTAACTAATTTAAGGAATAACTGATCCATTTAAGTGCAAGATAATGACTCATGAAAAAGTAGTCTTATTACAAATTTTAAAATTCTATGTCTATAAAATTACCCATGATGGCGTTTGTAACAGATGAGAGGCTTTCAAAACACTGTTTCCCTTTTCATTCTAATTTACAATATGTCATCGCCAATTCCAAGATGGTGCTGAAGTAAAAGAGCATAGATAGCCTTTACAGATGGTTTCAAAATAACATATCTGAAAGAAGAAAAAAAATATATACATATATAATGTTTTAATNATGAAAAAGTAAAGTCTTATTACAAATTTTAAAATTCTATGTCTATAAAATTACCCAAGATGGCGTTTGTAACAGCTGAGAGGCTTTCAAAACACTGTTTCCCTTTTCATTCTAATTTACAATACGTCATCGCCAATTCCAAGATGGTGCTGAAGTAAAAGAGCATAGATAGCCTTTACAGATGGTTTCAAAATAACATATCTGAAAGAAGAAAAAAAATATATACATATATAATGTTTTAATAACCATTACAAAATGTATCTCATATTTTAGCATCAATTAAGTAAAACGGGCATGGGATTGCTGAAGGAAGGAATTATCTAAATTTTTCATTTTTATTATATATTATTTCTTATTTCAGTCACTTTATTTTCTAAAAGAGTTCTTGCATTAGTTCTCTTCTTTGTATATGAGAAACTTCCAAAGCAATGGCCTTCGCATAAATATATTAAACATTGCAGTATCAGATTTTATGTTTACGAATCCAATTATCACGAATTCTATGTATAAATTGTGTGCGGAGAAATACCTATACCATCAAAACACTTATCACAGTCATATCTGACTTAAGAATCACATAAGTTAAAATATGTTGCAAAGTTGGGACATATTCAGTTATGGATTGCTTTTCATTTTGATATGTACAGGATATCTGCAACATTTTAGATTTTCAAATCCCTGACTTTCCATCAATAATTCCAAGAAATTGTTATGATTTACCGAAGTTACTATTTTCTCCGACAAAAACACAACAATAAATTTAAAAAAGCAATATAATAACATTAATTGAAATGATAGGTATAACCAAAGCTGTTATACTCTGAATCCTTGAGGCAGAATTTTTCTGAGCTATCTGCGACAAAATTCTCTAGCACTAATATTTTTCAGCAAGATACTTTTCATAATAATAAACATATATGTTACTAATTTAAAATAACAAAAGACCTGTGCTTTAAAAAAAAATCCATACATTACTTTCTTTAAATTGAACGTGTAATTTTTATTATAACATTACATGTAACATTTTCGCATTTTGTTGGGAGGTGGGGGGACACAGAAATTATTTCCTTCATCTTTCATAACTAATCGTCACAATAAAAAATAAATTGCGAATCATTAAATCTGCAGTAGTACTTAGCGAAAAAAAAAGATTGACGACAAATTCACACGAATCGGTTACCTCAAATGAGTGTTTCGTTTCTTGATTAGGCTGTTGTATCAAAAATATCAGATTTAAAAACTATGGAGAAATCAGTAGCAATAACTGATAAAATTCGACAGAATTAATCACTTAATTCACGTGAAAATCAACATCAATAACTGACGAAAATAAAACAGAAAAAATACATCAATTTACGACACTATCGGCGTATATTGAGCATATCAAAAAGTTATTATTTAATAGCATAATTCAAATATGACTGGTAAATTTCTGTCAAAAAATAAATAAAGGCAATTTTCATCATATTTCAAGTCTTTCAGACACTTTTTTAGTCCAAAAGGAGCAGACAAATTGTTATAGTGCGCAGAACCAATAAAAGTAAACAAGGTCTTCGGGAATATCAGAATTGAATAATGTGATATAATTTAATAGTTAACAAACTTGGACTAAAAAAATAGGACATTAGCGTAATTCTGGCAAATATATATATATACATATCAAAACCCCTTCCGAAATTATTCATTACTTGATTAATGAGCTATTCGATTCGGTAAGTAAGATGTAGACATATAAAATTTTCATGATTCAATTCTTTTGTTTTGTAATTTAAACATTATATATTAATTAAATACATTAAACATAATATTAAATAATTAAACATATATATATATATATATAGCTGNATGTATTTATATATATATATATATATATATCTGCAAACTTGTACTGTTGAGAAAAAAACTTCTTACTAGCAGCAACATTAGAGATCTTATTAAATCCTCAGTAGACATATTAAATGAATCTAGTACATACTAAATCTTCAATTTAAAATTTCGAAAAAAAAAACATTTCAATCTATCATGACAAATTAATAATTAAAAAATATGCAAATATGATCTATTTGTCAGCTCGCTTAGCTCTTAAATTTTTAATTAGTTTAAGTATTAAAAAATATTTTTCATCGAACGTACAAGTTGCAGGTGTGAAAATATATAAACTTAAGCATGTTCGAAGGCTTAACACCTCCAAACATACTATAAAATTACGCCACTGTTTGTGAGTATGAGAATTGAATAATGTGATATAATTAAATAGTTAAGCAGCCTGGACATGAAAAAAGAGGAAATCGATGCAATTCTTGCAATATATAATTATATATATTAAAAACAGCACATACCCGCCAAGATCAGAGAATTCGCTCACTTCAACAAGGTGCATTAATTCACTTTAATCTACAGCTGGTTTGAGTTTTCGGGCTCGCCTAATCGAAACAACTTTCATTCCATTTACATTATGAGCTAAGATATAAATCTTAAGAGACGAAATTAGATTTAAATATAAGAAGACAAAAGATAAATACACCGCAGACGTAGCGGACTATGATAAACAGCATCTTAACGGGTTTCGGTTGCGGTTCCGAGTGGTATATCGTTGATTTCAGTATTTAGAGAAAACGATCGATGCCGTGAAAAAAACACAATTACAATATTGATATCAAATATTGTCCGAGTGTTGTTCAGATATCTCTAAATTTATATTTTAAATTTATTTTTTGGAATTATAACAATTTGATGTCATTTTTTGTCTTTGAATTAATTTTGATTTAAGAACACAATAAAGTTTAAAGTGAAAAGTTTTACAAACAGACTTTTAATGTGAAATCGGCGGGAATCGTACAATATCGTACACACAATGTCGATTTTCACCAATATTTACAATGTCGGTCGATGTAGACTAAAGCTGTTACAATATCCCTGTGCTACTTGGGATGTTAGGCTTTCGGACATTGGAGATAGGTAATGTTTGAATTGATTTTTGTCAAATGAACCGTGAGATCTGACTTTATTAATTTAAATAGTGGTTCCATCTATCGTCAGAGGAGAAAAACAGTAAGCCATTTTGAGTCAATCAGATATGTGGTGCTGCCATCTATGAGATAATGAGAGTTCCAGTAGTCCAAGGTCCAGTATGAATGGAATAAACAATGTGGAGCTAACACTAGGGTGCAAACGCCACTCAGACAGGTATGAAATTGATGGACTTGCCTTGTCAGCAATAGTACATGCGTACCTAAGGGGCTTTCTAAGGTGTCCAGAATTAACGAATGAAATTCTGGTTGTTTAACCGTTTTAAATTAAAACAGACGAAAAAAGATTTTTCTCACAATAAACAGTTTGAATATCATCTATTTATGGTTATTTAATTGTTTTGTTTGAATTTGATACAATAAGGATTAAATAAATAAATTAATTTGTTAATTAATAATTTTTTTCGAGAAATTTTTAACAGTGCAGGGTAATGAAAATCTGGTCAGATAATTCCCAGTGACCCAATTCACTCTTAGTGACTATTTTCACCAGAAGATTTATTCACTCAATCTTTCTTTTTCCTATCTTATCGAAATAAAATAAAAAATTGGGTGAGATGTCTGTTGAATAAATTGCATGGCCAAAAGATTAGATATCAAATTTAGATAATTAAATTATTGTGTTTATTGATTTCTCAATACATCTGGAAAACTGTCAAAAGGAAAATAAACATCTTTATACGAATACGTTCTAATAAATGCTACGATTGAAAGCAGAAGAAATAGATCATAATTAAATAATTTATTTATTTTTAAATGGATAAAATTGTCACGATGATGAAATTTATGTTATCATTTAAAGGCGTGTGCATAGTAATAGTATCTTTGTGTGTTTGGGTTTTGTTTCAACAATTTCGAAAAAGAAGGAAATACATAAAAATTCTTCCATCTCAAGTTATAGGACTGATACAAGTTTTAGGCTTGCGAAAATATCCAGAGATTAAGTTGCCTCCAACAGCAGGTAAGTAACATCTAAGTTATCATGTTGTTTAATTGTTTTGGAACAGATATTTGAGAAAGGTTATGTTTACATATATCTGTGTGTGCATATATGTAAGAGTACATACATAGTCTTACGAGAAAGTCACAGAAAACTGAGCTGTTCCAACTTTTAACAGAAACAGAATAGTTACCATCCTTGTTAACTAGCAAATGAGACACACTTCAGTACTGCAGTAAGAAAGCACTAATAGAAAACCCCTCTATTTACGCTTTTACCTCAATTTGCGCAGTTGGTTTAGAATTTTGGAATCTGGAAATCTTGTTACGAAAATATTTTAAATCATTCTTGAAGAATCTCTCGTTCATGTAAGTTCATTTGAATTCGCTACTCGCTTTATAGATTTCATTTCATGTTTTATTCTGTTTTTTCTTTATTTTATTTTCTGTTTTTACGTGATATTTTTACTTATTGTGTTCTATTTTATTTGTAGTAATTTTTTTGTAAAAAATTTTTTGAGTGCTCTTCACACTTTTGTATTGATATATTTTGCTTTGGCTATATTGATACAATTTTAGAAAGCACTCCTTTTTGCGGATACAATCGTGTGAGCTGATGATAGGATTATGTCTTTTACTTTCCAGATTTTTATTAATTTTTTCCCTTTTTTTCGGATATTCTCTTCTTTTTTTTCCGGTTTTTTGTTATTTTTATTACTATTTTTCCTTTTCCCCCTTTTTTCATTCTTCTGTAATTTTTTCCATGTTTTGTCTGCATTTTGAATTTTATGTATATATATATATAGGCTGTTGTATCAAAAATAT